AACGCTGGCAATTGGGGAGGGAGACAAAATGGCTGCGTTCAGCGTCGACGTCAAGTGGCCCTGGGGGTGGCGCGGGCAGCACATGGGGGTGTCGGGGTGGGGGGCGGCATGGTCTTGTTGCCTGGTTGGCTCAGCCTGGCCAGCCAAAAACAACCGTCCTGGGAGCTGTGTGTGTGTAAGGAACTTGGGGGGAGCACTGGGTGGTGGAGAGAAAAAGGGGGAGAAAAAAAGGAAAGAAAGAGAAAAAACCCCAAGCCGCAGCAGACGAGCTGGCAGCAGCGGCCACTCTGTTTTGGTGGTGATATTTGGATTGTCACAGCCCTCTCTTAGCATCAGCCAAAGCCGCGAAAGAGAAACACCGAAGGCCAAGGGGCGAGAGGAGGAGGAGGAGGGTGGAGGAGCGGGAGGAAGGACAAGGAGGGGGGAAAATACACGGTGAAAGTTTTGGAAGGGCTTCAGGAGCAGCGGGGTGAGGGGTGCATGGCTGAGCCTGTGCCAAGGTTGATGGCTGCTCCCGAGTGCGGCTCAGGCCCTGATGGAGTGCAGGGAGCCAGAGTGCGGCAGCTGTGCTGTGCAGGGGTGTGCCGGGATGTGCCGGTGCTGCCGGTACCACCGAGCTCTGAGCCAAGGTACTTTTAGCTAAAATGGAGCAGAGCCCCCGGAGACTTCAGGGGTCAGAGGAGGTGCTGCCTCGAGGCCCTGCTGCCCTTCATGGGGCGTGGGGAGGCAGGATGAGGTGTCACAGGGCGACGAGGGTGATGGCCAGCCACGGTGACACTGCCTGGTGGGGCAGGGATGGGTCATGGAGCAGCTGGAGGGAGCAGAGGAGGCAGGTGCGGGGGCAGGCGACCGTCACCCTGCCTCAAGGCAGGTCGCTGTGGGTTTCCCTCACCTGTATCCTGCATGCCAGCGTGGGGCTGTCCCTGTTCACACAGGGAGAGAGGCTCTGTGGCCCTTCCCAGATGGTTCTGGACATGCTGGCCCGATTGTGGTCCTCCTGTGGGGTGGGAGCTGCTGGCCAAGCTGTGCCTCAGTTTCCCCCCCAGCAGAGCGGTGAGGAGGACTGGCAGGCAGGTGGATGATGGGTATCCCCACCGTGTACCAGCACAGCATGGCTCACCCCGGGTTTTTTTCCTCTTGCAGATGCAGAGCAGAGCAGCAGCCCCCGGACGGGCATCGGCTCAGACCAGGAGGACAGCAAACCCATCACGCTGGGTGAGCAGGGCGGACCCAGCTTAGGGTCAAGGGACACCCAAACCTGTACTGGCAGGCAGGTGGATGATGGGTATCCCCACCGTGTACCAGCACAGCATGGCTCACCCCGGGTTTTTTTCCTCTTGCAGATGCAGAGCAGAGCAGCAGCCCCCGGACGGGCATCGGCTCAGACCAGGAGGACAGCAAACCCATCACGCTGGGTGAGCAGGGCGGACCCAGCTTAGGGTCAAGGGACACCCAAACCTGTCCTCCGGGTCCCTGCGGCAGAGGCAGGCCCCTCCACAAGGCGGAGGTTCACCCTGTGCTGGGAGCGCC